ACATACAACGTCTCTTACTTACACGTCGGTTCCAGAACCGACGTTAAAAGCATAAAATAACCGACGTTATATGTTCCTTCTCTAGTAGTGTCACTTTGACTGTCATAGGAAGTTCTTGCCTCTTAATCACTCTTATCGAAGGGATAGAACGTCTTTTTTTAAAGATAAGATTGAGAGAAGTGCACCACCACCTCGTCTGAATGGAAGAGAACTTTGGGCGCGTGTCAGATCCATTCCATCGGCAATAGAAAAGCCCAATGAAAAACCAAGTGGGTATGGAGGTAACTTGTGTTATGTATATTTTTTATCAAACCTTATAAAATCAATTAATCAAACTTTTTATATTAAACTACTAAAATCAGTTTTTTCATATTAAATTATAAAACTTAAAAAATCAGTTTTTTGCGCAAAAAACTGATTTTTTAAGTTTTATAATTTAATATGAAAAAACTGATTTTAGTAGTTTAATATAAAAAGTTTGATTAATTGATTTTATAAGGTTTGATAAAAAATATACATAACACAAGTTACCTCCATAACATAAAAATCATACAAAAAACTGATTCGACCCCTCATATTAAACTCAAGTTTAATATGTCCTATATTTCAAACTTTTATACCACACAAAAACACCATAAAATAATTTTATAAGGTTTGATAAAATAATACCTAACACAATTAAATTCAATAACATAAAAATCATACAAAAAACTCATTCTACCCCTCATATTAATGGAATGCTTGACATTTGAACCTGGTATGCCATGCTTTTATCATCTCTAGGGAATTTTTTATGTATTCATAGCTCTTTTGTGAAGTAGTATTTGTCTTTTTGATAAATTATACAGAGGTTTTCCCTAAATATCACTGAAATGATGTCCAGAGAGGCACAAATAAACATAACTAAGTGGTCACTTTCAGCACCATCATAGTCGCTTTAGAAGTCCATTAGCTTAAAATATTATCAGATTAAAGGCCTAATTTCTTAAATTGAAAAATAACCCTTCTCCAAACTCCTGATAGATAACACAACACACAACACCCTTCTCCAATATTCTGCTATAACTACAAATATTAAAAAATTGAAAACATTCTCCTTGTTATAACTAAACTAAAAAATCAATCTCTCATATACAGTATACGGTCCATGCGAAAAATTGAACTATTCATTTATATTTTGATTTTAATTATTTTTGCATCTCTTTTGCTTGATTTCCATCGTTGGGCATGGGATTATGCGTAACGCGCGTTCCCATGCTAGTTACTTATATAGATTTAAAGTTAGTACTTTTCTAAAGGATTCAATTTTTGAATTGGTTAAATACGCTTAAATAATTTTTTTGTAAATTATATTACTTTTTGCATATAGCATATTATTACTCTTATTTTAGGAAACTGAACCTTATAATATTCTCTGGATGCCGTGTTTAATTTTTCAATGGATGCAACTTGCTTAGTTGAAACTATTAATAACAACGATTTTTATATGTAATGTGTTATGTAACTTGACTTATGTGTATTTTGATTGTAAGGGAATGATCAGATTTGGTATTGCACTTGTAAGTGACTTGTGTGTAATAAAATTTTACCCTTGTTTATTTGTAGCCCCGAATGCAAAAAGGTGGTTATGAGTATTGTTATGAGACATATATGAGACGTATGGCTATTGTTGTTTCTGCTGGTATTGTTGATTCTTGGATGAAGGTGAAGTTTTAGCTTATTTGTTCTTATATACTTGTGATTTTATTGTTACAGTACATGTTATTTCTTTTACTTCATGATTTTTGTATTTACTCATTTAGTTTCATTATTTAATTTGTAGGCATTCAACGTTCAAGAGTCATTCACTGATCAAGAAATCAACGAGACACGAGAGCGTTGGGCGTCATTTTTCTGTGAAGCTACGAATATTTGATATAATTTTTAGACTCTTAGCTAGTTTTTGATGAGTCTTGTGAACTCATAGTTTTAGTGAACTAAAAGTTAGTTTTTGATGAATGTTGTGAACTCATACCTAGTTTTTGCTGAATATTTTTGGATCAAAACAATGTGAATGTGGAATGTTATTAGTTATGAGCAATGATATGTGTTTACTTTGTTGCGATAAATGTTCCTATGATGATATGTGGAAATTCTGATATTTAGAAATAGCTGGGTATGAATTAAATGTTATGAAGAGATTTCATATGGGTTGATTAATCCTATATTGAAAATCTTTAATAACGGTTAATGTATAACCGCTATTGAATGTTTCAATAACGGTTCTGTAATAACCCTTATTAAATGTGTTGGACTTTTAACATGTGCCGCAACAATATCGGCATGCACCCGTTATTAAAAGCCCAATTGAACCGTTATTAAAAAACTTTTAATAACGGTTCCTGAACCCATATTAAAAGTACCGGACTTTTAATAGGTGCTGCAACAATAACGGTTCTGAACCGTTATTAAAAGTCCATTATAACCGTTATTAAATCCATATTTTCCACTAGTGTGTGCATAACATCAGTAACAAATGAGCATATGTAACTTACAAAATGAGCATTAATATGAAAATTGTAAGGCTTGTTAGTTGAACGTTACAACATTTTCATTGAGCATCAAACATCTTCTATTGAGATCAGGGTCGTGTCTAAATATAAGTAGGCCTGAGGCAAAAAGTTAAATGAGGCCTACTTTTTAAGGGGGCGATTTCAAATGTCAAAGAAATTTATTTATTTTTCTTGCCTTTTCAGTTGCAAAATCGCTTATTATTAATGTTTTATATTCTAAATGTTCTAGCATATTATTTTCTATAGATAATATGCTTAATCCGTTTAATCGATCTTGCGACATAGTTGATCTTAAATAAGATTTCAATAATTTTAATTTTGAAAAAAAATTTTCAGCAGAAGCAACTGTCACATGAATAGTTAATAATATTCTACACGCACTACATGTGTTTGGAAAAGAATCTAATCTCTTGATGTAATTTAGCACCTAAGTGGAGTGTTTTCTTTATCTAGAGTTTCTTTTAAAACTTTTAACTCTGAAAATAAATCAAATCCATCAATATCTGAGTGTTCATGAAATTTTAAAAAACTTTCAAGATTAAGACATGATTTTTCTAATTCATTCTCTTCTAAAGGTTTTAATTTATTTATGTCAAATACAACAACAACAACAACAACATCCAAGCCTTAGTCCCAAAAGATTATTTATGTCAAATAAAAAACCAAAAATTCGTTCATAAAACAAAAATTGTTCAAATCTACTTTCAATGGATGTAATAGAATGGTCCATTATATAATTGAAGTATTCAATCTCAAAAGATTCTTGAGCTATATGAGTGGTGTTGTTATCATTACATTCATCAAATTGTCTTTTTCTACATATCGTACACATTTCACAAAATATAGGTTCTACACCCATTTCAAGTGCAATTTCTTTAGTTGAAGTAAAAGCGGACTCAAAACCTTTCTGCCTATAATTTTTTAAGTAAGTAGTAAGACCTTTTAATTGTGTAATAGCAACATCAATATGCATGTCTTTAGATTGTAAAGTTTTACTTACAGAATTCACAGCAAATAATATATCATACCAAATATTCATTCCTAGTAAGAATTCAAAACTATCAAATTCATGTTGTACCGAACACATAGCTTCACTTTTTATCTTTGGGTCTTCACTAGTACTAGCTAATTGAATTAAAGCATCTTTTATTTTTTGAGTTTGGAATTTTATTGCCTTTGCACATTCGATCCTACTTTCCCATCTTGTTTGAGATAAGGATTTGACTGAAACTTTGCATCCATTGTCTTGTAAAATTTTCCATCTTTTAGGAGATGAGGAAAATAAAGAATATAAGCGTTGCAATACACCAAAAAATGAAATAATAATAGCTCTATGACACGAATTAGCCATAGCACATAAAACTAAATTTAAGTTATGACAACCACATGAAGTGTAAACTGCTCTAGGATTTATATCTATTAGTCTTTTTTGGGCTCCTTGATGTTTCCCTTTCATATTTGATCCATTATCATAACCTTGTCCTCTTATATCATCAATATTGAGTTCATATTTTTCTATTATATTCACAAGTTCATAAAAAATGCCTTTTCCGGATGTATCGTCTATTTTTAAGAACTCTATAAAGTATTCTTCAATTTTAATTGGATAAGAAAAAATATCTACACATCTTAGTATAAGTGTCACTTGTTCTTGGTGGCTTCCATCGGGGGTGCAATCAAGAATAATAGAATAATACTCCCTCCGTCCCTTAAAGGTTTGCCAAGTTTGATTGACACGTAGAATAATAAAGTAAAAACTGTGTGGTAGATATTTGTGTAGCGGAGAGAGAAATAACATGAGCTACAAATTGATTTATTAAAAAGGAAAGTGGCAAAATTTTTGGAACAACCAAAAAAGGAAAGTTGGCAAAGTTATCAGGGACGGAGGGAGTACTTAAATTATCAAATCTCTAACATCGAAAGCTAATAATTCGATTAACTCATTTTGTATAGTATTACTTAAGTAATGAGATTGAAGTTTACCATATATACTACGATTTTTAAAATAATTTTCTGAAATATACTACGATGTTTAACTGCGCAGTTGTCTTCAAACATTTATTTGACTGCCTTCCTGATTTCATTTTTATCTGAAATTTGGTATGGGTAAACTAGACTTAATGAAGAAGATGCTAAAAAATATTATCAAAAAATTCTACCGGGAACCGCCCCAAATGAAGATGGTCGGACAGAGCCTCCTATAAAAGGGGTGATTTGCATTTTTTCGTTTAGTTCGAGGGTTTATTTGTCCTCTTTCCAAATTACTTTAAGAAGTTCAAAGGCACTTACTTATGAGTAGTGTTTGCAAACAAAGCCAAGTGGTCAGCGTGAGTATATCTTCATTTGGAAGTAATTCCTTCTAAGACATAAAAAGCACCACCTATCCTGCTCAAGTGGTTCGTATATATGCAAACATGTATATATAACTTCATGTCAAAGTCATTCTATCAAACATAAACGTAACGCGGCCTTGTCTCAATTGTCTGCAAATATATATATACGGAGTATGTAGTACGTCCTACAGAATATATTTAACTTGATCTATGTTACAAACAATAGATGGTACTCTGTATATCATCTATATATACTCGATCATAAATAGATTATATTAATTCACTTTTCATTTCTTTGAACTGAATGAGGTCGAGAGAAGTACGTACCAAATTACTACGCAAGTACAATCATCATGGAGACAAGGATCCTAAGATGCTTCTCAACTAAGAAATTTATGAAAGTTGTCATCCTTGTGTTCTTATTCATCGCTGCCATGTTTACGGTGGTGTTGGCGAAGGGTACTTCCACCTCTCGAGGTGGCCGAGGTAGCCGAGGCAGACGAGGTGGCCGTGGCCGCTCTGCTAGAAGAAGTCCTACATGTGGTGGAAAAAGTTGTACACATACATATGGCGGATATATTGGTCATCATAATCACTCGGGAGTTTCATCTATTTCCACTGTGACATGGAATCCAAAGTTTGGGCTCGAGCTCCAACTTCACATCATCATCTTTAATGTGTTTATCATACTTTTCTTAGCTTAATCTGAAAAAATTCTTTAAGCTAGTGCGTTTATATACGTGAGTATTTCATATGGGGACATGCATTCAATTAATTCAGATTGCTCTAAGTATTATAGAATACTTAATGTTCGATCACGACCTTCATTTTATTTACTAATTACGTCTCACTCAACTTTATCAAGTTGACATTGACTCTGAAATACAAATGGTAAAAACTCTATGATTGAACTTCGGATAGAAGAGAGAGAAATGAACAAAATCACATCACAAGTTCATTGCTTAAAAGGAAATGACAAAGTTGGTCGAAAGTGATAATAATGGTCGATTAGCCTGTGCGGCTCGAATTACATACGGACTACTATGTATAAAGAAGCTAAGGGGAAAATACAACCTGGGTATGTGAAACCTATTGGGTCAAAACTCAAAACTCTTGTTCGTCCAATCACAATGTCTCATTGAAGGTTTGATCCTTTAGTCCTGCCTACATATGCATGTAGTAACTTTTAAAAAATCGATCAATAGTCAATACACTTTCATGTGTGGAAAAAGTTATTTGTACACATTATTAGTGTAATTTCTTGCATTGTTTTACCAAGTTCTGATTTATCGTGTTTTAAACGAGTATCTACGTTTTTTAAATGACTTTTATCAAGTTTTAGAGGAAAAATATGTTAAAAAAGAATTTTGAGATATAGGAGAGCTAGATCTCGAGAACGGCTATTTGGACCACCGTCTGTCTGTCCAACTCGTGATCTTGAATCGTGATGACGCTCTGTTCATCTCTTGAGCATATCTTCTCGTACACAATACTAAACCAAATCATTCAAGTTTCAAATGAAGAATAATGCAATGGTCTACAAATCATTTGAATACACGACGACGATGAGAATATAGAAAATCAAGGTTAAATCTCAAATATACTGTTGAGATTCCGATTATAGTGGATAAATGACTTCATTATCTAAAACGTTTGTGGAGAACGCATAGCTACTAAATTTGAAAGAGAAAAAAGACATCAGCATGGCCGCACACACGATCGCGCACACATTCATATAAATGCCCCCATTATTATATATTTCCTCCGTTCCGCTAATATTGTGTCATTTTACCTTTTACGAAAATCCCACTAAAATTGTCTCATACCAAATTTGGTAAAATTTGTGTGGCTCTAAATCATTCTTACGTTATCATTTATTATCAACCACATAAATCCATTTTTCTTAATAACCGTGTCACGCCCTCCCGTCCCAATATTAGTGGGACATAGGTAGAATTCAATTATAGCTTCGGTTCAATATAGTAACAAAACAAATAACACCCAAAAACAAGTGAAAGCATATACTTTATAATGAAATCATTGATATTATGAAATCACAGAACTTTCTTAAAATAAGTATTTGCCTTTTTTATCGACTGTACTTGATTTTTGTTCTCTCCTTTCTGTTTGACTTCTTCAAGGTGTAAATGTGTAATAGTTCTCTCAAGTTCCATCTCTCAAATATGTGCATAGTCTCACTCACAATACTTAAAATACGAATAAATTGACAAACCAATCATTTAAAAGAAGGAAAAGGGTCAAACACGCCCTCAAACTTACATAAAAAGGTCAAATAAGCCCTTATATAGGAGGCACTGTCCGGTCATCGTTATTTGGGGCAGTTCCTGGTGGATTTTTTTGATGAAATTTTGTGAGCATCTTATTCATTAAGTCTAGTTTACTCATACCAAATATCATCTAACAATTCAATCGGAAAGGCATTCAAATGAATTCTTGAAGATAACCGCGCTTTTAACTACGCAGTTATCTTCAAGAGTTCATTTGAATGCCTTCCCGATTAAAGTTTTAGCTGAAATTTGGTATGACTAAAGTAGACTTAATAAAAAAGATGCTCAAAAAAGTTTATCAAAAAATTCCACAGGGAACGGCTCTAAATAGCGACGGCCGGACAGAGCCTTTATATAAGGGCTTATTTGAACTTTTTATGTAAGTTCGATGACCTATCTGACCCTTTTCCCTTATCTAAACAGAGTTAAATGACAATCCAAGGATAAATCACATCCATTTTTGCATCTGTTACGAATCGAATAAAAAACAACAAGTAATGATTTTCCTAACTAAGTAGAATAAATTACCACCAAAATAATTAAATTGAGTCAAATTGACCTTGAAGGTCAGATTCTAAAGGGTTTTCATCTTGACATTAATTTTTTTGATACCTGCTTTCAAGCTATGCAAACTTGCATTTCCTTCCCAAAAGTAGGGTTATAAAGAAATCGAATAATTCTGATTCGATTCGTGATTCAAATTCGAAATTTCGGTAAGTAGAATATGAATACGAATACAAAACTATGATATTCAATTCAAACAATTTTCAAATATATTTGAATTATATATTTATACTTATATTTATATTTATACTTATATTTATATCTATATTTATATCTATATCTATATCTATATCTATATCTATATTTATATCTATATCTATATCTATATTTATATCTATATTTATATTTATATTTATATTTATATTTATATTTATATTTATATTTATATTTAGATTTACATTTATATTTATATTTACATTTATATTTATATTTATATTTATATTTATATTTAGATTTAGATTTACATTTATATTTAGATTTACATTTATATTTATATTTATATTTATATTTATATTTATATTTATATTTATATTTATATTTATATTTATATTTATATTTATATTTATATTTATATTTATATTTATATTTATATTTATATTTAATTATATTTATATTTATATGTATATTTATATTTGTATTTGGATTTACATTTATATTTATATTTATATTTATATTTATATTTACATTTACATTTACATTTACATTTACATTTACATTTACATTTACATTTACATTTACATTTACATTTACATTTATATTTATATTTATATTTATATTTATATTTATATTTATATTTATATTTATATTTATATTTATATTTATATTTATATTTATATTTATATTTATATTTATATTTATATTTATATTTATATTAATATTTATATTTATATTAAAATTTATATTAATATTTATATTTATATTTATATTTATATCTACTCCTTATAAGTAAATGTAATTCAATGTAAAAATATTAATAGCATATTCCGTAATATGTATGTACAATAATCATTAGGTATTTTCCATATTTTAATATAAATATATTATTCTCTGTTGATTTATTTATATTGATGTTAAATTTGAAGAAGTGACATACAAATATACTTTGTTTTGTATGAAATATGTACTATAAAAATGAGTTAAACGGGGAAAACTGCAATTATAATTTTATTTATTTTCATATTTTAAATTTAAATTTTTTAATTCGACAAAGATTCGAATATATTCAAATATACCATATGATTTGAGTACGAATAATAAATAAGATTTGAATATTAAACGAATTTGAATATTTGATAATACTACGAATACAAATAATAATATCAATTATTCGGTTCGATTCGATTCGTTTACAATCCTACACAAACTGACAAAAGTACAAGTAAGAGATCATTGCTTGAATTGTAGACACATTTTGTAGGTTGTTGCTAGGGCTACGTATCAAATAGCTCGTGCCAAAATGGCATCGGCACAAAGTTGACATATTTGTGTTAAATCTCCTATATAATTTGGCAAATGCCGGCCAAAGATTGGTGGCAATCCTGTTATTTTTTGTGTTGTTACCTATTGATTTAGGTGGGTGTATTCTAACCGTTATTTACATAATCATCCGACTGTCCTCGCTCATTATTTCAAATATAAGAGACCTAATAAAATTTACTCCCTTCGTCTCATTGGACTTTGCCAACTTTCAATTTTTGTTTATCCTAAAAAACTTTGCAATTTACCTATTAAAGCAATTAATTTATGGATCTGTTCAATTTTCTATCCTCTGCACAAGCCTAAAACATACACCTTTTATTTTTCTTGTTTCTCACATACTTTGTAATAGAATTATTATAGGATCAGTATTGTATTTTACATTAAACTCTTTTATTATAAATATATATGTCAGAGCTCCTTAGAGAGCATCCTGTTCCATTATTCTCACATGGTATCAGAGCATACTAAAAACCTAAATTTTTTCCCATGACTTCTCTCTCTACCGTCGCCCGGCTCTCTCCTCACACCGCCGCCGCCGCACGATACAAACCCTAGCCGCCGCTCATGATGTCGTCCACCTCCAGCTCTTCCGCTACGCTCAGCACGACAGTCTCTTCTCCAGTCATTCCCAGTTCTTCAGCCGCGGCAACAAATTTCCCCAGCACCGCCGCTTCTCCTCATGGTGGCCCGCCGCCGGTGCTTCCCTCAGTCGAGTCTGGGGTGACATTTTCTTCTGCTTTTACGTCACCTGGCAGGACCTCCATGCCATACTCACTTTTCAAGAATTTGCCCCCGGTGTTTCCATGGTCTGCTCCCTCTCCGGTGCCGCGTATTCCCCTTGATCCGCCTCCCTATACGGCTGCCTCCTTCGCTGGCCCCACTTTTGTCGGATCCCCGGGAATTTCCTCCAATCTCCAACCACTGCCCACCACACCAGTCAACGCCACCGGTTCCTCTCTGGCAGATTTGGCTCGAACAATATCTCACGTGGCTACCAACGTTACAAACATTATTACCACGAAACTTCTTGCTATTGAAGATTACACCACGTGGAGAACCCAGTTTGAGTCCTTCCTTGTTTTATAAGGACTCCTTGGCATAGTAGATGGATATATTCAGGTACCTTCCGCTTATTCCATAGATGTTCTTAACCGTCAAATTTCAAATGCCGAATTTTCTATTTGGTTGCGAATTGATCAAACAATTCGTTCATGGTTGTTCGCAACTCTTTCACGTGATGTTCTTATTGATGTTCGGGATTTAAAACACTCGTATGAAATTTGGGAACAGTTAGAATCACGGTTTATGTCTGGCAGTCTAGCCCGGTCTATGGAATTACAGCGTCAATTTTCCCAAATTAAAAAGAAACCTGATCAATCCATGGATAGTTATTTACGTGAAATAAAAACATTGGATGATGATCTTGCCACTATTAATTGCCCCGTCTCACCGCGTGATCTGCTGAAATCCACTATTATGGGACTTGGCCCCGAATATGAATCCCTGTT